CATTATTTGTGCCTTTCCGAATACCGTATTCGGGTTCGGCTCCACCCCTAGTACATACATATTAAAGTATCAAGGTTAAGTATTGGAGACCTTTTTTAGCTACTGATGGCTGTAAATCTTTCATATCTGTGAGAATGTCTTGCAAATGCCTCAAAATTACCCAGAAGCCCTGTTTTACGTGCGCAGTATTCATGTGCACCGAGCCCACGGGACAGAAGCGAGATAGAAAATAACCTTTGACCACTGAAAGGGGCTGTTTTTAATTGATGTCATTTTGTTTAGAATGATAAACATAAAGACAAACCATGTCTGCTACTGCTAATTAGACATATACCAATAAATGTGTTGTGGTGCTTCAGTCATTTTTTTGTATTGAAAAAACCTGCTGTTATGGTGAGCTCCGTAGGGTCAACAATGACCTGTATGCTATTCACCGTATCCTCTGTACACTGTAATTACTCTTCTCTTATAATTTCAAAACATTTTTCATCGTCTCATTGTATAGGGCAGTGCTTCCCAATCCAGTCCTCAGGGGTCTGCAGACAGTCCATCCTAACCCTAACCCTATTGGGAGCTGGAGGGAAGCAAAAATGTGGACCATCTGAGGACTGGGCTGAGAAACACTGCTATAGGGGCATAATATATAGGGAGGAGCCTAAGGCTACGTTCACACTGCCAGCCACATCGTTCAATTCCGATTTCTTGCTCAGATCGGATTTGTCTATCTTGATGGTTCACATTCATAACTACAAGTGACCTGTATCTGACTGTAATGTGAACGCATCGGTCCTCCGAAACATCACGCATGCGCACATTGCTACGTTTTTACACAGGTAAAAAGCTGGTCGTAAAATTGGCACGTTGTGCGGCCATGACCGCTGCACTGATTCGAGTCTTTTGCCTCAAACTTTGACTTCAGGCTCTTTGTTTTTCGTTGGCATTGTAGCCACATTCGTGTCCGCGCTGTGCCGTTTCTTTGGCAATTATTTCAAATACTACTTTATTACGATAGGTTCCTTCAAGTTTACCTTGAACAGATTCATTTCCCAAAATATCAATTAAATCCCCAACTTCTCCATCCTTCCACTGACTGTTATTGCAGCTCTCCTCCATTTAGGCTGATGATGTCAGCGCATGCGTATAAGCAAAAAGCCACATGAATTCCGATCTGAGCGTCACATTCAGGTCGCATGGCCGCGAATTGGATACATATCAGATTTAGTACCACATATGAAAGTGGCACAAATCTGATTTGAAAAGATCAGATTTGCGTGTCCACACAGCCCTGAAAAGATCAGATGGGTCACATTAAGGCAAAAAATCCAATTTGAGTCACTTCAGCATGGCAGTGTCAACGTAGCCTAATTCAGCAGGTTAGCGATTTGTGTCTGTGTCAAGAAGGTCATGAATTTAAACCCTGTGGCCAGCAGACTAATCATATGACTGTTGGGTCCTTAAGCAAGGTCCTTAACCCCAGCTGCTCCAGATACAATGTCTTACTCTGGTCAAGCTTTCCTCTCTCTTGTGTGGAATCCTGAAGATCCTAGAAACCTTTTTAAATCTCTTAGATGATACAGTCAAACCTCCCTTATCTGGGCAGAGTGGGACCGAGGGGTGCCCTTAAGTAAGAAATGCCCGTAACTTAGAAATACACTGCTCAAAAACAAGCATCAAGTCAATTAAACTTCTGGGATATTGATGTGGTCAGTTAAGTAGCAGAGAGGGTTGTTAATCGATTTCAGCTGCTTTGGTGTTAATGAAATAAACAACAGGTGCACTAGAGGGGCAACAATGAGACGACCCACAAAACAGGAATGGTTTAACAGGTGGAGGCCGTTGACATTTTTCCCTCCTCATATTTTCTGACTGTCTTTTCACTAGTTTTGCATTTGGCTACAGTCAGTGTCACTACTGGTAGCATGAGGTGATACCTGGACCCTACAGAGGTTGCACAGCACAGTTCTTGAGGCGCCTGACGTCCTCTAGTGAACCCTGTCCTCACTGCCCGGCACTGTGGACCTCGATTGGCATTTGCTGTAGAATACCAGAATTGGCAGATCCGTCACTGGCACCCTGTGCTTTTCACAGATGAGAGCAGGTTCACACTGAGAACATGTGACAGATGTGAAAGGGTCTGAAAAGTCGTGGAGAACGTTATGCTGCATGTAACATTGTTCAGCATGACCGGTTTGGTGGTGGGTCAGTGATGGTCAGGGGAGGCATATCCATGGAGGGACACACAGACCTCTACAGGCTAGACAACAGCACCTTGACTGCCATTGGGTATCGGGATGAAATCCATGGACCCATTGTCAGACCCTACGCTGGTGCAGTGGGTCCTGGGTTCCTCCTGGTGCACGACAATGCCTGGCCGCATGTGGCGAGAGTATGCAGGCAGTTCCTGTAGGATGAAGGAACTAATAGCATTGACTGGCCCCCATGCTCACCTGACCTAAATCCAACAGAACACCTCTGGGACATTATGTTTCAGTCCATCCGCCAGGTTGCACCTTAGACCGTCCAGGAGCTCAGTGATGCCCTGGTCCAGAACTGGGAGGAGATCCTCATTAGGAGAATACCCTGACAAAATGTCAGGTATGCATATAAGCATGTGGGGGGCATACAAACTACTGAGTACGATTTTGAGTTGCTTCCATGAAATTTCGGCAAAATGGACCAGCCTGCCGCATCATTTTTTCACTTTGATTTTCGGGGTGTCTTTGAATTCAGCCCTTTGTAGGTTGATAATTTTCATTTCCATCAAACAATGTGGCATCCTTTCATTCCTAACACATTACCTAGTCCATATCAGTATAGATATCCAGCATGATTTTTTCCACATTGAGATCTGATGTGTTTTCAAAGTGTTCCTTTAATTTTTTTGAGCAGTGTACATGAACAGTACAGTACAACGTATATGTGTACACATACAAACTAAATGATTTTTATGAGGGGCAAGGCTTAAAATAGGATGTTATTTCAGTCTGAGCTAGCGAGTCATCCCGTTTTATTCTTGAAGTGGTCATCCAGTTTTTAACCAGCGTCAAGTGAGCTGGATGATTTTTTCTTTACTCTTTCAAATATCGCCTACCGTAGACTTAGCCGCTCCAAAACGGTCTGCAACAACTCTGTGTCATTTTCCTTTTCGTACCTCTGTAATGATATCAAGCTTCTTTTGGAGGGACGTGACACTACGCTCCCTTTTTGAAGCCATACGAATTTTGCAGTTGTACGCGCCGCTGTAAGTTCAGCTCCGCCCACAGCCTCGTCCTCTAGCTCGCTCTCCATTCGACGTTCGCTCCGCCTCCACGTGCAGACTCCGCCCACAGCGTCATCCTCTAGCTCGCGCTCCATTCGACGCTCGCTCCGCCTCCACGTGCAAACTCTCTGTATGCGGCATTCGTCACTTCCGTCTTCCGAAGTGAAAAGCCATCCAGAAGACGTCTCGGGAGGTCTGCTCATTTATTGATTACTGTTGTTGGTTTGCCTTTCTTGATGGATATTGCTGTGTATGATTTGTTTGGATTAATGAATTTTTGATTTTCGCTTTGGTTTACCTATTTGGTTTCGAACCGGTTTTTGGTTAGCGTCTTCGCGCGGCCATGGGACGCTTTGATCCCTGTGTATGCTCTGTGTGTGTGTGTCAGGTGCATAGGGGGTGGCTGCCATTTTTGTTTTGCGAGCTTATGTTGCATGCTGTTGTTTGGATAAGGAGTAAGGTGTAAAATTTGTCGTTGTGTTTTTGTTTTCTCTGCACTTAGGTAAGTTAGCTTTGGGCTGCGTTCAGAAGCTGGGTTTTGTTTATTGTTTTCGCTATAGTCATTCCTGAGTCCTTTTGCACTGGGTTTATTTGTTCTGTGTCCGTAGCGTGTCAATAAAAACAGACAAATATATTTAAAAATACCTTGTCCACGTGTGTTCCCTTGTCCATCGCACCCTGTCTTAACCTTACTCCACGTCCCCTTTCACTCTTGTCATGCCCCAACCCTAGACTGTGGCTCGTAACAACAGCTGCTGGTTGTGTAAAATTAACTTGCGCGTGCCTAGAGCTGCCCGGTACAGGGAGGTGCCTGTATATCCTCCTGAGACCCCACCCATTCATTTATGTCCATTGTAGTGGACATTTTATTTATCTTTTCACTCATGTTAGGAAACGTATTTATTCCTGTTGTACACTAAAGAGGACATGCTGTGAAATTTGAAAAAATCTAAATTGTAAGATGTCTTATTTCCTCCAAAGACAAATAACCTAAAATTGAAGGAAGCTTTTTTTCCTTGGGTCTCAGGAGGATATTGGAGGTTTAACTGTACCTGCTCTTTGGATTTTCCTCATGCCAGGTGAGAACCCTACCTGTTGAACTGCTCAGCGAAGATGAGGTTGGTGGAGGTGCCCGTGATGGTGATCAGGCCTCCGATGGTGGCGGCATATGTGATGCTGAGGGAGAGGCACTTGCAGATCATGTGGTCGCGCTTGGTAGGATATCTCGACGGGTTTTGATCCGTGGGCTGCTGGGATTCTGTGATGTTGACAGCTGTCTGTGGGGATGAGTGTAGGGCATCAGTATTGGGCCATGATCTGCATCCCCTAGACCAGGGTTATTCAAATCACAGTCCTCGAGGTCCGAGCACTGCTGGTTTTCCAGCCTTCCTTTACCTGTCAGTCAGATGTGAAGCCTCTGACCAATCAGAATCAGTAATTATTAAACTAACTACCTGGGAGAACTGAAAACAAGGCCTGGATCTGGAATTGAGGTCCAGATTTGAAGAACCCTGCCCTAGACCAATGTTTCCCAATCCAATCCTTAGGGACGCCAGACAGTCCACATTTTTACTCTCTCTCAGCTCCCAGCTGAACACCGACTACCTGGTACAGGTATGTTGAGAGTTGGGAGGGAGCAAAAATGTGGACTGTCTGGGGTCCCTGAGGACTGGATTTGGAAACACTGCCCTAGACAGTATACTTACCTGGGGAAGGTATCCATTATTTTTCTTGAGAAACTCTTGTCTTGCGCTGAGCTTCAGGGCTAAACCATTGGACTCCTGGGAGATATGAGTCAGTCACATGACCACAATTACACATTCATATTATTGTCCTTGTCGGTGCTCATTCTGACAGCATCAGCATCTGTCATCAGTCCTTTTTTCCACAGCATTAATTTCCCTGTCAGTGATGCTTCTGACAGGGTTACGGCCCAGTTAGTGCTGCCCGGACAGGTATTTTTTGTGCCAAAGCCCAAACGGTCAACTAGTGGCAACACTCACCTCTCCCAGGGTGGAGAGCTCCTTTTTCACATAGCTGTAAGAGGACAACAGATGAAATCAAGAAAAAATGTATCGTACATTAATATTTGCAATATCGATCCATCTATCCCACGCAAATACTATGGGCTGTTTAGATTTCACTAATTCACCTAAAGTGGAAAACACAATATATCAAGATAAACCTTTTCACAGATTACATGTGGAATCGAAAACATATTTAAAAATGCCAATTCATCATACTGCCTGTGCTTAGACTGCAGGAGGAAACACACACACACACACACAGAACATAGCAACATCAGACAAACGCAGAAGGGGAATCGAACCTCAACGCTGGAGGTACGACACAGCTGCAATAGCATCAGAAATCAGTGCTACATCACCGACGGAAATACCATCAGCCTGGAGAGATTTTTAGCATTAGCTGACAACTTACTGTGCCACTATACCAGATGACAAGCGACATACAATACGGATAGTTATTTAAATACAGCGAAGCTCCATACCTCTCTCTGCGATATAGGAGCTCAAGCTGGTTCTTGTCGAGATTTTCTTCCTTGTCTGTGAGAAATTCAGAGCCAGTTCAAACACAGTGTCGCTTAGTTATAGATTTTGTCTTCCGTCGATTTTGAAAAGCTATCAGTCTAACAGGACTTTACATTACGCCATGATGTCAGTCTGATTCTGTTCCGTAGCAAAAACGTGTAAATCGCTGGGAAGTTACTACAGTTATCGGTCAGGACCAATAAGGCCATACCCACCGCTGACCTCCTCGGGGACCTCAATGTTCTCATCGTCCTCCTGGGTGTCGGCCACGCCGGTGCTGATGAGCTGTTGCAGGACGGCCTCGGCGATGGGCATGACCATGGCTGTGGTGGAGGTATTGCTCAGCCACATGGACAGGAAGACGGTGCAGCACATGAAGCCGAGCACCAGCCTGCTCCGCATGAGATGTAGGAACACAGAGTTCAGAAACAACCTTCGCCTTCATGCAGCTGCAATAGCGTTAGCGACCGATGCTACATCGCCGGCAGAAATTCAATCGGCCTGGAGAGATTTTTAGCGTCAGCTAGCAATGGTACATATTTTGAATGGTGATGCTTGTAAATCCTTTCTAGGCACACGATCCACATTTCTTTAAGCGTGTGCTCTCAGCACACGGATGTGCTGTCATGCTGGGTGAGTGGAAGAAAGGGACACGCGTGTGTCTGTGTACTGACATGCCCGGCTTGGCCCCTGCTATCATGACCATCCGCAGGGCGATGCGTTTGTGCAAGTTCCACTTCTCGATGGAGGCGGCCAGGCAGATCACCCCCATCAGCAGCAGTGTTGTGTCCTTGCAGTACTCTGCTGCGACCTGCAGGGGGCACAAACACGCACACCTTCTGGTTAGGCATTTAACTGAAAAGTAAAGAAGCGTAAAGAAGCCATTTCTTCATATGCATGTCCTAATAATGTCCATTTTGCAGGGTTTGTGAACTTTGTCGGGATGGTTTTCTCTAAATGTATCATTACAAGACAAAACCTCACAAAAAAGTTATCACTCAAAACATATTCATCTTCTCAGTCAGATTCCTGCATTCTAATACACAGTTCACGCATAGGCGGTATTGGTCAGTATTTGGCAGTGTGTGGTTTTAGCCAGAATATTAGGATATGCAAAACATATGAGGTGTGGTCTTGTTATAATCTATTATTAGCGCCTTTTTTACAGCGCGGCATTTGATAGCGAGAGCACTTTACATCCTATCAGTTTCAAAAATATGTTGCTGGAAAGCAGAGAGTCAGCATCGATTACTAACATGCCAGGCTGACTGCATTCAGATGAGCCGAGTCAATAGGAAGGCTTTGTTCTCATTCCCTCTCAGCCCAAAAGAAAGCTTTGTTCTTTCTTTGGGTGGAGACAACGCAAACGTAAAAAGTGTCACGGCATGTGACGATGCAGTCACAGCGCCTCGCTTGCTGGACACCGACGCATTAATAATTAATGGGGTTTATTCAGCGTAGCAGGAGGTGCAACATAAGCAATACAAATAGCAGTCAATGTGTACATATTAATAAAATGCATGACTGAAGTACCTAGCAAAAATATATTATAAAATATTAACAAAGTATTAGGGCTGTCAAAATTAACTGGTTAACGCGGATTAATCCATCATCATGATTAATCTGATTAAAATTTTTAACGCAATTAACCCATCTGCAGCGCAGAATGACTCAAAATCCCTGAAATGTCTCTGTCAACCCATTTCGGGCAGTTTTGGTGCGTTCCATTTGCCCTGGGAACTCGTATTCCGAGTCGGAATTCCGAGTTTTGAAGCCGGAAGTAACAACATGTGCGCTCCCGTTTCTCGGAGATCCGAGAGATATCTCGGAGCAGCACAGAGGATCCCGAGTTCAGAATCCAAGATGGCTGCGCCTTTTATCAACAGAAGAGAAAGTTGTAGTTTTATACTGTTTAAGCACTACTTCTCATTTGTGGCTCATTAAATCGGTCGCACACACTATACCGTCCAACTTATCTGTGGACGTGTTGCTATGGAGTTTTATACATAAAGCACCGCACGTAATGTGTTATCAACTGATATTGCTAACAATATGGCAATTAACCTGGCTAGAATTGGATTTCATGATTAGTCGGATTATATATCGGATTTACGGTAGTTCGGGCTAATTGTAAGTGAACGAAGATAAAGACCATTTAAACTGAGGTACCTTAAATGCGACAAGTTGTCCGGCTAAGCAAAAAATCTTGCTTTTTGATATGGGTCCATGGTATTGCACATCTGTGGCAGATGGAATGCATCCGACTCATGTTCAAGATGTTCAATACACATGTTAAGTGCATATATATTGCCTTTTTTCTCGAGTTTGCTCATGCAAAATGAATTGTGATTAAAATAGATTAAAAATGAATGATATTTAATCGTGATTAATCTAAATTAATCCACAGCAACCCTGTGATTAATCTGATTGAAAATTTTAATCGTTTGACAGCACTACAAAGTATATAATTGGACTTTAGCTGAATATACAGAGGGACTATTTTACACAATTATAAATTAATTTAACTCTTAATTTCACCAAGACAAGTGGTTTGAAGATGGATAGATGTATGGGCTGATGGATGGATGGGCTGATGGATGGATGGATGGAAAAAGAATTCTGTAGTATTAATCTTGAAATGGGCCAACAGCCTTTTGGACCAGTTGTTGCACCAGGAGGCTACGGGAAGCAAATCATTCTGCTGCTAAAGTTAAGGACATGTGATCCATAGACATTGTCACCCCACGCAGAGGGGGTTGTTAAGGATCCTCGTACAACTGTAGCCCAATCCAGTTCACAGAACAGACGAACCAGATGACACATTGGCATGTTAAGCTCTGACTTCCTCAAGCTCTTGGGGACCGGGGTAGTGGGCAGTCGCAGCTGCACTGGGTCCTGCTGGGGAGCCCGTCCAGTTTGCCGTTCCCAGGAACCATCTTGGGGCACCTTTGAACCTTTGGGAACCCTGTGCGCAGTGCGGCAGATCCTGCTCACTGTCACAGCTGTAAGTGTGACGAGCAGAGGGGCTCCGCGGCAAAACAAAGGGCCGCAGCTGATCAAACTGGGCCGGGGAAAAGATGAAAGCGCAACATGACAAACGAACAGTGCATTCTCTCCTTTGAGGTCTGTGAACTAGGCTCACACAGTCCACGGGCTTCTCTGACCTCATACGCTCATTCTCTGGCTAAGAACACATATGGAAACACACATATAGAAATTAGCTTAGAGTAAAAATAGTCCACAATGGATAAAGGTACCAAAACAGACCGAAACAATAATATCATCGCCGTTAAGACCTTCATAAACTATTAACACAAAAGTAATCACACACATACTGACATGTCTTCACTGACACAGCTCTAGGCTTGTGGTCTGCCTCCACTGGCCACTGTTTGAACCTTGTATCAAGTTCCAGTGTTTGGGGACCAGTGCCACCATCTGTAAAACCTCACTACACCCTACACCCCTTCATGGTCACTGCGCTCCTCTACATAGGATCATCTGACAATTCCTGGTCAGGAAGGTCGGAAAGTCAAAATTCTGTCCGCTTTCAACTGTGGAGAATGCGCTAATCTTTAAGGTGGGGCTTGACATTATATTATATATAAGTACTTTAAATCATGCCTAGATTACAGAGCTGTACCTATGCAATATAAATTCTATGTAAAAACAGTACGGCAGTTGTTATAATGTATTGTTTAGAAAAAAAATTACAAAAAACATTGTACAGTGCAGAACGATCCTGTGTATGTACTGTACTGTACTGTACTGTACCGTGTTTTTTTCCCTAAATACAATAAACCTATCAAAGCACATTATGGTACACTAAACAGCAACATTTTTTCCCCTTCAACCACTACTGAATCCCTTAGTAATGTAAAAACATAATGTGTAGGTCTAACTAAGCCTCTGTTTTGTTAATATTTTTGAACTGTGATCGTTCGAAACTGTATTAACAGTGTAATATGTGGGCTGACTGTACATAGTGGAAATCTCACTGCATCCTGAGTATATTCAGGAGCCTGCTCTCTGTACAGCATCACTGCCTGTATGGATGCATGTGTATCTTTAGCTCTTGGTGTTAAGTACCAGGCTGTTTGGTTTAAGCTTTCGAATTAATCTGCATCTAAAACAGATACACAACTGCATGTCTCATATTACGTGGCAATTTAATTTAATGAATGAGATTTTCACATAGCTAACAAGGCTATGAGACTTACTGTCCTTATGAATTATGTGTTTGTTTTGATGTTTTCTGTCTACTTCCCTTATTAGTTACACTGACCTCTAAGTCACTTTGAAAAAAACGCCTCTGGCAGATAAATAAATGTAGATAACGCTACATGCAGCATTACCCAAATTAAAGGGCACTTAAGACAAAGAAAAAAAAAGCTGCAGTGAGCCCCCAGTGTTCCAGAACTAAAGCTGCTGAATTTCCCCTGAAAAACCCCCAACCCCTGTGGCCAGGCATCTGCTGGATGTGGATTGGGGGGGGGGGGGATTGCATAAGTCCAGACTTGCACTTTCACACACAGACACACACATACACACACAAGCCTAATTTCATTCAAGCCACCAATGTCAACACAGGACGCACAGCATGGAACTATGGGTCCTTATACCTTTACAACAGAGGGTGATTTTTTGGGGCTGGCTGATGGGATTAGCGGTTCCCCCTTTATTAGGAGGCTGTCCCTTTATGTCCCCTGTAAAATCAGTCGTAACATGTCACCTGACTGCCACTTCAGGGCCACAGAGATGAATGTATTTATAGGAATAATTATAGGGAATCTCAATGGGCCTAATGCTTTGATTAACCATGCAAAGCGAGCAATTAACCAAACAGATTCATTATGAAAATTCACGTAAGCAGCCCACAATTTTATGTGGCATCTGCAAATACACAAAACCTTCCCAATTGCATTCAGGAAATGTATGTTTTTTTGACCAGCTGATTAACTGCATAACTATATAGACCATACCCTAACATTACCTTCAGGATGATTGTACGTTGCACTGTTATGAACTCGCTCTGTGTTTCTTGCTATCTACTTCGACTGTTACACGCATACTGCCTCTTTGCCTGAGTATAAAATTCTTTCATTCTGTCATATACCATCCATCACTCCATCTTCCAACTACTTCTCCCACACATGGTTATGGAGACCAATATTTCAGACTTTGTAGACGTCTAATCCACACCTGAACTTTGACCTCTTGGATCCTGACTAATGACGCACCACATCATCAGAGCTCACAGACGCTGTTTAAAGGGCCAGATTCACAACAACAGCCTTAATCTATTTTTTCTATATATATTTTTTCCAGAACATTTCATTTGCTTGTAAATAAATTTAGGGTTTAATTCAAATAAGTAATTCTACTTTTAGTCTAACAATTTTATTCCCTACATGTAACCCAAGGCATTTTAATCTGAGTAACAAATATTACGGCTTTATGTGATCAGGATGCTAGATGTTACCAGTTTAAGTCCTGCTGTACAGTTAAACAGTTACAAAAGTTATCATTCACACACTCCACTGCAAATGTGTGCAAAGGTGTGAAGCTGTAGAATTGGTGTTATAATACTGCAGAAATGGTAAACGGAGGAAGTGGACTCACCTCGCTTGACTTGAGGACCCCGAACAGCGGATAGAGGAATGCGGGCACCAGGGCGGCAGCACCCAAGGGCACGGCCTCCGACACCCAGTACACCGCTGTCACAATCAGCACGTATGCGCATGATGCCTCCTGTAGGGGGCGACACAGCCACAGGTGACACATCTGCTCAGGTCCCAGCTTTTTGCCAAGACGACGGCCACACCGGCACCTTCAGATGAAATCCATGAAGCTTTGTGGCTTCAGCATCAATCCTCAGAGAATTTCAATTCAACCGAATATGCTTTACTTTCATGAGCTATTCATTTAACTTATACTCACAAAACTAACTTTGTTAATCAATTTCCCAGAAATGCAGAGCAAAATGCACAAATATGTAAATATCTATACAAAAAAAAGGAAAAGAATCTTTGCTTGTAAATTTGTGCCATTTTCTGTCTGAATGTGCTACTTTCTCTGTTACATACAGTGTTTCATACAGCAGATTTTCAATCTGTGATTAAGTCTGCAGTCAGTTTTTTGTCTTTTGGTACAAGACGTTATCCTGATGACCGGTTATCAATTGGCACATGATCAGGAACTGCAGGTGTGCTTGTGGTGCGATAAATATCACCTGCTTCTATAAACACAATCAGGCACTGCACAGGGCACCCTTATGGGTACTTAGTAGGACCCTGATTCAAATATAGTCCCTGCTTATTCAGGGCAGGGGGTATTTCACTGAATCATAGTAGCATAATAAAAAGTTTGAAGAGGTACTGAGAGACAAATGTTCCATTGAAAAGTACAGTTAAAATCCTCATTAAACCTGCTGATTATTCCATAACCACCCCCCCCCCCCCACAACACACAGCCCCCTTTTCCATTACAACTGGAATGAGGTGGAAAACCATTGTAGCCCCTCTTGTTGCTAAGATACCAACGCCAAGAATCCGATAAATCCATTACTTAAGGATTCTGTACCAATCAGGCCTCCATGTTAAGACTGAGTGCCAACTGTTAAAAGTCGAAATATCTTTGAAACTAAAAAAAGTAGAATATAGGCCCCCAGGTGATGTGTCAAGTTGTCCGGCTTCTCAGTCTCAGCCAGGGGCCTAAGCAAGCTTGCCCATGAATAACCCCCCCCCCCACACACACACACACACACACAAACACACAATGATAAGCTGAGAAATTAACCCACACTTGATCCACACACTCCATTGTTCATGTACAAATTTAATTTTCCAAAGTTCAATGCCACCTATGGAGTAAATGGTCTTGATACCACCCTGGCCTGTTCGCCGATTCTTTTACTCTCGTTTTCCACACACTGAGCTAGTTTGGACCATGCTGCACAATAGTTATCAAAGCATGATGCTCAGTACACAGGATCAGCTCGGTTCACTGATAGTCTAACCCAATGTTTCCCAACCCGGTCCTCTGAGACCCCCAGACAGTCCATGTTTTTGCTCCCTCCCAGCTCCCAGTAGGAGCAAAAATGCGTACTCTCTGACAGGGAGCTGGGAGGGAGCAAAAACGTGGACCGGCTGGAGGTCCCCGAGGACCGGGTTGGGAAACTCTAACCCACTGAAACACAATGTGTTTTCAGTTTGAACTGGTTACAAAACCATTTATTTTTAAAACTCCCCAAAACTTTTATTCTTAACATTCTGCACAAGCAATGAGAAGACTTCTTGCTAGTTTGTAAGTACTGGTTGGTCTGTTGCTTCTTAATAATCCTTTAGAATGGAGTCAAAGCCTGGGGCACAGAATGCTTGTAGAGGGAGCATTAGTCTTTTCTTCAGACTGGTGCCAGGCACATGTCATTGTTTTTACGGTTTTTAGAACTGCATATCAGGTCTTTTTTTTTTTTTTTTTAAATTTAAAGGGACAGGGGGCTGAATAGTACATGCAGAGGGACACAGAGTTTCCCTGGTTGCCTGGGAAACGCCAGTGACACCACTAAACTGCACACTGGGGATGGGACAACTGGTGTTGTTCCTTGGAGTTAGAGACATGATGGCATCACAGCTTTGAGATGTTTCATTACTATTGGTTTGTTTCTCAGGTCATGTGATGTTTTTATATAATCATGGTTGGTGTAAAGCACCTTTTTCCCGATGTGTATCTTATCTTAAAAAAATCCTCAGAATTGAACAGTGAACACTTTAGTTGATCAGCTGTTAATTAAGGAGCTTATCTCAGATATTAACCCAGCAGATAACAGGATTTCCTGTTGACTGACATGATTAATCTCTCTCAATTGTTTCGTCAGACATTACTTTGTAAGGTCACAAAAACTGAATGATAGCAAAGATCATGTGATTTAAGTATAAAACAGACAAATCAAATCTTTTTTTCTCAAAAAACGTGAGCATTGGTAAAGTTGTCTGTGTAGTACGAGGACTATTTTTTGTTTATATGTTGTTTACTGTTTATACTGTACACACACCTTGTTTCTGCCAGTGTATCAACAGCATGAAGCCATGTACGATCGAGCCAAAATTGTAGGGAATTAACTACTTAAAGTGTTTTAAAGTATTCTAATTTTAAAAGAACCAGCCAACTGCTCCTAAAATTTACTTTGAAAGAATGATAGGTGTATTAGTCATTAAAATTACTTTCTGAGTGAGTAAAAATAGCCCCTGACCGGTGGCTAAAGGTCATTCACACATGCAAACAACATAAAACCATCAGTAGAAAGATGAAATCCAGAGGATTCTGGGTAACAGTCCGTTAATGCATTTTCTGGCTACCCAACACTCAAAATCGTACCTAAACCTCTGCTTTTGGCTTGTTTCAGGTCTCGGGATTAAACATAATTAAAAGGAAAATTCCACATTTAATTAAGGTTTGGTTATGTAACTGACAGCTTGAAAACAAGGCTGTGGAGGTAGTTTTAGGGCAGAGGTCAGAACCATTCGCTTTCCTCACACATGGCGATCAATCGGCTCCTCTTTGCTAACCTCTAATTACCCTCCGCTGGAGCCGCGGGTAAGCTTAGTGCTTAGTGCTTAGTACGCACTTCCACTGGTACTCGCTAGAACTGATCAAATTGTGCCAGCTCGCTGGTCACTTGGCTCGTTATCAGCTGGCAGCTGGTTGGCCAGAAGCAACAAAAAAGTGAGCAATAATATCGACGAACTGTTGCTTTTATCTATATAGGAATTTTAAACACATTTTTGGATCAAATTCTGGTTTCATACTATATATTATGTAAAGTAGCAATGGCTGACAATAAAGTTCCTGTCCACGAACAATATACACTATATGGAACTACTATATACAGTATGCAGCAGAAGTTAAATTTTATCTGCTAGAACATGTAAAAACAGGAATGTAAAAATATACATGAAATGTAAAATATAAAGTTTTCGATTAACCATACAGGTGCTAAATTTCTGCTTATATTTAGATGCATGATTGCCAACACTATCGGACTGAAATAAATATTAGGTATAAGCCACAATTTAATTATTAGATGTGTAATTTAAGGGTCGGAGCTCATTTGTTAAACCACATGTCCAATCTCACTCTTACCTGTAACTTGGCTCGCGCTGCAGCAGAAGAGCATCACGCACGTGGGCAACATATGCCGGTAAAATTAAGCTTACAGTTGTCCGACCCTATGAAGTTGTCTCGTTTTCTCCGAGTCCCAAGTATTTCGAGTAGCCATGGATCTTGAAACATCATTGTAGATTATAAGCATTGATATAATAACAGATCATACGCATTGTTTTAGTTCTTAATAACTGCACTGATCATATTCATTTGCTGTTACCTAAAGGTATAAATCACTTCCGCGCACTTATATTAAGTTTTTTTTTTTTGCATTGCCTTCTTTTAGTTTCGTTAATTGCTTTAAATTTAGCAGCACGCAAAATTTCTTGCAAGTGTGGCTTATCCGATTAATTCAGTAATGCATGTCACTAGCATACCGTCCAAACCTCGGAATCCGTCAGACGGTGGGAGAGCGGGTTGAAATACTTACGCTGGTGGGGTGGATGAGAGGCAACGGGAGCAGGGACAGAGGGATCAGGACCACCAGAATCAGTTTGCGAGCGATCCAGAGCTTCTTCAGAAAGTCCATTTTTCCTGATTCCAGCCTCATCGACCTTTGTTACTTCACGCACTGGTCTAAGAAACAAATGCGGCTTCGATATAAAGTGAATAGATTGTGTACTATGCTACGCGTTCCCTTTAAAAGTAAGATGGTTTCGTTGGTAATTTCTTGGATGTGTCTGCAAAAATGTCCCTTTTTATCTTGTGAAATAAAATTTAAATCGGCACATACGTGTATTCCCTGTTGCGTTTCAGATTCTGTAGTGTATGTTACATTTGTCTAAACTGCAGTGAAGGAGTTTGCTTGATCTTTTTTGGTTTGGTATGTGCGCAACACCTAGATGGTCCCAAAGCCGCCTGTCACTGACCTCGCCACTCCGACAAGGTCTTCAGTTACCCGGCACTTATAGGCATCCAGAGGTCTCCCTTATTGACAATAAAGATAACGCTGCATGTTCTCTTCGTAATCGTTTTGTAATCTATATCAAAATACAGATTCAGTGCATAATAATGTGTAAAATGATCAGGATATTGTTATTACATTTATATGTTGAAATGAAGTAGAGCTGACAACTTTGGAATTAAAATAAGCGTTGTCATGGTCGTAGTTCTAATTTATTATCTTGGAAGCTTGTTGACTAACTAGTCTAAGCTTTCGTAAATCCTCCCCTTTAGCTGATTCGTGGCCAATCAGATTTCAGCAATTACCAGATACGAATATTAAATCCCACCACTTTTAGGTATTTGATACGTACAAAAAAAACCGATTCTGAAAACAAGCATATTCAGATTCCAGCATCTGTTATACTGAGTTTAAGAAAGATGACAAGGTTTGCAGGGAGCGGCAGGATTGTTTTTATGTGCCCGCAACCATTTAGACTCTCTCCCACTTAGGGAATATAAATAAGACATGGTCATCGTTTCTACATATTAGACAATAATATCAGAATGGGAACAACGTTTGATGGCCGCTTACTCTACTCAACGTACAGGGTAAGCAATAAGTTGAAAATGGTGGTTAAATACCCCCACCTAGTGGAGTATTGCTGTAACTCATAAATCATTCATAGATCATGTAGTATTATGATTATGATTATACTTGCTACTAATATTATCTTGTTGTTCGATTACAGCATTGGTTGCATGGTTGCATTTTTTCGTTTTATACATCATTATTTCACGAGTTCTGTGACAGTGACAATTGGGCTGTATATCCATCCATCCATCCATCCATTTGCTGTAACCGATTATCCTATTCATAGTCGCGGGGGGTCCGAAGCCTATCCCGGAGGCTAACGGGCAGACGGCAGGGAACAACCCAGGACGAGGACCCAGCACATCGCAGGGCACACTCACACACAATTCACTCACACGGGCACACCTATGGGCAATTTGGTAACTCCAATAAGCCTTAACATGTTTTTGGACTGTGGGAACCGGAGCGCCCCAAGGAAACCCTATGACGACACAAGGAGCACGTGTAAACTTCCTACACATGTGTATCTTTATGCATGTCAGATTTTATAAGTTACATGATGAATCTCTGAGTATTACCTTATTATAAAGCAAATCCTTAGACTTTCCTGCTGATTGCTGTGAATGTCATGCATTTTGAAATACTGGGTTCTTTTTGTCTTTTTTCGACGTGATCGTAGACTGCAAGAGAAATTGCACAAATGCTTAGGCACGGATTTAATTTGCCGTACAAATATGTTTATTACATGCGTTGATTGCCTGTTTGTCACAATGCTTTGATTAAAGAGGCGTAAACGGACTGAAATCAATTTGCACGTGACTATCACTATTCTGATTATCAAGGCAGTATAAAGGTGACGTCCTTCAGGAGGGAATGCCCTGTGGAAGTCATTGCATAAACTGTGTCGCTTAATGCCCTATAAAGCTCTCCAAATCTTAATCAGACTTGAACTTTAGCTTGAGTTCTTACCACTCAGAACATTTTAGATCTGCCAACAGGGCGATTGTTTGAGTCTCTCTCTCTCTCTCTCTCTCTCTCTCTCATTCACTCCCTCCCTCCCTCCCTCCCTCCCTCTGTGTTATTGCGCACTATTATTACTGGGATAAAAAGGAATTACATACGAATTATATAATAATGGTGTTAATTAATATTTAATTTATCGCTTATAATAAGATAAAATGACTACATTACAATTACAATGAATACTGCGAAACAGTGTTGTACTACAAGAGACAGAAATACGCACATATTTGTTGGAATGACATAATGAGGTGTTTACAGCGCAAACGCCATCCTACAGTCGAGTCGTTTTCAGCCCTACACCTGACAGAGTGATTTTGCTCTCTTTGTATTAAATTAAAATAAGACCATTATAGAAAGGTCTCCGACTGATCACTCAGGATGATTAAGAAGGGTAGTGGCACGCAGGCGTGATCGGGCCTCCTGTTCTCAGCCTTTCCCAATAAAACAGGCGGTGTATAATCGTCCTGACAGGTCTCTTCCTGAACAGACACCGGAGCCTATCGCCTGATGTGCGAAGGGAGAGGCGTCCGTCACAGCCAAGCCTTCTCTGCTCTGACGGCTCCGTATTCAGGCTGCACTGAACTCGGGGCCACTGGGAAATTAATTAGGCTACTTCTGCTCAGTGAACACTATCATCGTTAATTTCATTGAGATGATAAACACCTGTGTGAGAAAAATAAATTTGGACGGAAATGGGGATTCAGCTGTCTTGACCACGGGCTTTGTCGTTGGTATTATTAGGTTTATTTTATATGCTGAATACTCGTTAATAAGACGGTAACATATTTGCCCATTACTATACGGTTACTCCATGACCTCATTCTTATATTTTTAGTATGACTGCGAGGGCAGCTCCCAGCAATCGGTTTTTCGGTGTGCCGTGTGTAAATTTACTGCTCTTCAATGAGGCAAGATATCCCACAATCAGCGCCTTGCTGCACACTCACACGCGTCCCCACGCTGCACAGACTGACCGCACTATGTGTTACGGAATATGCAATCCCCGCAACAGCGCTAGCTGTTATGTAATTATAACCCGACAAGCGAGATAAACGGTGTACCACCGTTGGTGTTTAAATTTGATTATTTTGACTTCCTAAATTCAGAATTACAAAATTTCATATACAGTCATGAACTGTAAATCATGCGGCCGCTAATGCATCGCAGTAAATAGCCTACCATAAAAACATAGAGAAATCACAGAAACATAACATGTTATGTGGTTGACGCAGACCTACAGATATTTTGGAGAATGTTCCATGCATTATTATAATTTGTCACGAGATGGTGCTTTTAGTTCCCCAAACGAAACAGGAATAACTAATAGCCTAACGTTTATGAAATTAATGCTGTGCCACTGAAACCGTACTTCTTAGTGTCTGCCCCGCGACGAAGAATCGCGTTCAAAGTGAACAAAACTCATTTCTACCATACGTGTCCTTTACTGTATCCTTTATTGCTAAAAAGACGAATATAACTGAACTATACCACTTTCTAGATGTCATCGAGCGTACCAGGCATGTCCTAAAACGCATCTATATATAAAATATGACGTTCCCTACGAGATACACATAGAACTATGCTGAATGAAACCAATTTATTCCCGAAGAAACACATTTCTCTCCACCCACTGCCACAGTAGCAGTGAGATATGCAAGCAATCCCAAACACACACATGCATCGCCACACTAACTTACACACGCTACCATGCTGACGCAAAAAGAATAAAACTGCAGCCAGAGAGATCAGGTTTTAAAAGCGCATAAATTACCGCTATATCAACGGCTCGCCTTACGTAAGACCTTCAGTCGCAACAGCCCCGTTTATAGCGGAGGCAGCGCAGAACTTGCAAGGCGAGGGTGTGACTAAAGGATAACGGAGCTTGCGGAGTAGAGACGGGGACACCGAGGAGCCAGAGAAAATAATGAAAATAATATTTAACTGCTTCCTTTCGGAGTGATTCTGGAAGAGGGGGCACAACTGGGGCTGGGATTTTGTGGACAAAAACACAAGAAATAGTTCACTTTTCATCTTTGTATTTTGTCTTGGTCCTCTCTGCCCAGGGGCGGTGAGGGTCCACCGAGGATACACATATATAGTGTAGAGGCTGATCTCACTCCCAAGGACAATATGCACGGCTATCGTGGCCCTACAACGGTTAAAGTTGTTCCCCGATATATGGTCCAGGTGTGGCCTTTGGTGTGGACAGTGTGGGGACTGAGTCTGGGGGTTACTGTGACTTGGGGCTCGTCGGTTAGTCCAGTCGTCCTGCGATCCATCACTATGTCAGCTGCTGAGGAGTGGACAAACATCACGGAGACCGCGATCGCAAACTACACAGGTGAGGATCCCACTTGGCGCTTAACTCCGTGTTTCCAGAAGCGAGCACGAGTTGAGTTTGCAGGGTGACAGGGACATGCATCTTCTAAAACATTTTTTGTATTGGAATAAGCTCACTTTAGGTGAATCACGCAAACTGACACATGCAAACACTCACATGCTTGGCACTGCGCACGCGACTGGACGCTCACGTGGTCGCACTAAAGACGCACTGAGACCCAAATCGCCTTAGGCTTTTTAAAACATCCCGTTATTTCATAATAGCGGAAATCTTAATGATAACTAATGCCCCAGAGCCAGGCAAACAAGGACAACAACTACCTCAGCGCGACACAGCAAGCTTTACTATTGATTTATAAAACCATTCAACTTTAATCCCTTCTGTATGAAGTTTCCAGGTTAATCATATATAAGAATGAAATTGATATATTGTAATATATTAATATATTGTAATTTATACGTCTATATATGTGTGTAGCAGGATTACTTAATTAGCCTGATATTTAAATTAATTTAAGTGGGTTTGTATAAGTTTATATAAGGCAGAAAATGATACGTAGACGTCGTCACATTGAGCAATGAAACCGTGATATTAGTCAACTTAATATCAAATAAAACACAGACGGAATTATTCGTAGGGAGGCCTCACATTGAAATGAAAGTCTGGCACCCCCGAGGAATGGCAGGAGGTCGACCATCTGCTTTTAAACCTCAGACACGCTAATGCACGAACGTGTGTTTCATTTGGATACTAACAGTGTCTTATTGGTGGGCGGGTGGCTACGTTATAGGTATATCATTTTATACTATAAACACTGAGAGGGTACATGTCCCCTTTTCTTAAGCTCATTCGCACCAGTGCTAGATATTATGCCATTCTTAGACTAGATGCTGGACAGTGGTTATTTATTTATTTTTTTAAGAAAAATGGATAGCGATTTTTTTTTTAGAAAAGCATCCATATTTAATGAGCTGGAAGGAATTCAAATATAACTCAGTTTCCACTGCTTGGTTATTGCATTTGCATCCGTAGTTATTTAAAGTGAACCGATAATATATGGACCTAGACCAGTCCAGCCTCTATGCATTTGTGTCATGGACATGCCCAATTAGCAAATAGTTTGAGAAAAAGCCTTTTTCCATTTCAGTTCTGAGACTTCCTGACACCCATCTGTAATATGCCAGTGTCAGATGTGTCTTCCTTCTACAAAGGCAGGCTGTACTGTAATTCTACCTCGGGGAGGGCAGTGGACAACACACTCTGATATCAATATCTCGCTCCAGCTGATAATGCAGGAATCTTTAGAAATGCAGAGTCATGCATCAAGATTTCGCCTTCCTGTTTTATTTTGTGCTTTCCAATTTTTGCTTCAAAAATTTGGAGAATGTAGATAGCTTTAGTCCAGGGGTTGTGACTGGCTTATGCAAAACATACGTATGGAGAAAAAATAAATGAACAGCTCTTCACCAATAAATCTTTTACAATAATAAATAATTAGGACCCTTTCAATCCCATATCCCATATAGTGTTGCTGGACTTCCCTTTCTGCTTGCGGATTACTGTTCTCCATTGTGATCCTGCCCTCTCAGAGACAAGTTTGACTTGACCCACTTCTGGTACCATAGCACAAAGAATTAACACTTTGCTGCATTATGAACATTCTCATCAGTGGGTCAGTCTTGGCTACATCTTAGTCTCACAATAAAGTCTGTCGGCCTGAACCGGTGTTGCCAAGGCTTACTTGTGCAATTACACTATAAGTCACAAATTTTTGCAAACACTGAGATTTTCTACTTTTGCGTGTTGATCACTTAACATTTACTAAAAATACACTTAATATTCTTTACTAACAATAATATGGTATATTCGCCATTTGAATACCTTTATTAGCAAGAAAATGTGATATCTTTGATTAATCAAAGTAACTTCCTCTAGCAGTTAAAAACAGCAGAGAAAATATGGGGCATCCTTTCTACAAGGGACATTAAATACTGCTCTGTTTCACGAGATGAACCAATTCACTAGTGCATTTAAAGTTAAAGGACAGCCTAGAATCTGACTATGCCATCACCACACAACCAGTTAATAGGATGTCAGACATGCATGGTTACATACTCTTTCCGTCTTATAAAGGAAACTTGTTTTATTTGACTTAAATTTTAATTTATAGATGTTCGTTCAACTTTTGAATGCTTAACAAGAATAGAAAATGTGCAGGGTATGAAATAAATGGAAAAGTGGTAAAAACCTGTGTTGTGCAAAATCTTTTGACTGGTAGAGTATGTGTGTGTAGGTCCTGTGGTCAGTGTGATGTGTTAAAAGGATCACTTGACCGCACATTGATGTACAGAGTCTGGATTGAATACAGTAATTAATAGCACTGTACCCATCAGAGTATCATTATCTCTTATTATTCTGCGAAATTTTGTGCTCTGCAATGGACTTGCATCCCATCCAGGGTGTTCCCCAGCCTTGTGTCCTATGCTGTTGGGGATGGGAACACCCTGCATGGAATTAGTGATTGAAAGATGGATGGATGGATTAACGAAAGGATGCAACTACAGGCGCTCCTCTACTTACGAACGAGACACGTTCCTAATGGCCATTCGCAACTTGGAATGTTCGTAAGTCGTTATTCAACATCATTTTAAGGATATACGCAAGTACAGAGAATTAGGATGCTGGGAGTTCGCACGCTACGCTGCTGCGCGGCGGGAGTAGCGGCCAGAAGTCATACTAGGAGGAATTGGCGCGCAGAAAAAAAAATTGATGTTGCAGACAGGAAATGGGAGCCCAACAAACAGAATTTGGACTTACAGTCCTCTTCGTTCATATGTCTGAAAGTTCGTAAGTTGAACATTCGTAAGTAGAGGAGCGACTGTACAGTGCTCTGGTTTGAGGTTCACACTACAGAGTTCTTATTTTCTTATTTGGGGTTCACACTGCCTCCTCGCTCCAGGCTGAACAAGCGGACCAATAAGCTGATTACTCAGCCATTAACGTCACAGTTACCTCCAGAAGACCACGCCATGTTCTGTGTGAGCTCATGAGCTTTGGCTGCAGTCATGACACTTAAGCAGGTGAACAGTGGCGTCTGTTAACCTGCGTCTACCCTGGTGTGATGTGAGAGCGCAGGAGCGGTGTGCAAGACCAAAGCAATCAAGCCAGCAGCAGATGCACAGTGAAAGACCCAGCAGACAGGGCTGCCCCTTTAATGAACACTGGCTGTTTTGTATTCTGCAATATGTTCCATAAATGAATGGGACCTCCTGTCATGCCCTTTGTGTGTCCTGCTTGTCAGGCAATATGCTTATTGCTTTTGCTGAGGCAGCATCCAGCCGGCTTGAGGGACCACGGGGCACGATGTGATCATGTCACCTGCTGCCAACACAATATCAGCCAGCAGAGTACCTCTGCCTACAGGGTGTAGCAGAAAAGCAAGGCCATGTGGACCCGAGTGCTGGAGATTCTGCCCTTTAATTTCACTGCCTTTCTCTACAGTCATCAGCTGAGGCTTTCAGGGGGATAAATCTGTAACTGATGGTCTAATCTGTATTAAATCACACTGTCTTCTGAACACGTGGAATGAGAGAGAGAGCGAGTGAGAGAGGGAACAAGAGAAGTAAGAAACAGGTGTTCAGTTGTCATCTTCCTGCAATTTAAGTTCATTGCCAGTTTTGTATTCTAAGGAGCGTAAAATAACCCCAAGCAGAATTTCCACCCTGCAACAGAACGCAATAATGTTTGCATGGGTGATACAAAAGGAATTCACATGTTTTTTTTGCTCGCCTGATACTTTTTATCCAGCACAGCTCACATAGCAGATATTTTACTGATTTTCTGAGTGTGAAAAAAGGACAAGGGCGAAAACAGGGACTTTTTCAACTTCTGAACCCCAGATTTTTGCGAGCTGGCCTTGTTCAGTGTAAGTGTGTATGCTTCTCTCCAGAGTATGCAGCATAAATTTTGGTGTCCCACATGGAGAAGACAAATGGGCTGCAGAGCCCCAGTGTCCTGGCTTAAGGATAATTGTGTCAACACAGTGCAATCAGTGTTCAGTTAGTCATTGTGGACTTTACAACTAACTTATAAATTTGATAAAACTTAGACTGGGAGAAATTAGCGGAACTAGGAAGCTAAATGGTTAAGGAATTGGATTTGTGACCTAAGGGTTAGATGTCCAGATATCTGCAGTGGTCTGCTCTTGTAGGACACCTTTGTCCGTACAAGCACCCTGGAACAGAATCGCTTCCGTAAATATTCGGCCGCATAGACAGCTGTAGTCTTGAGCTGCCTGTCAAGGAAGAACCAGACACTAGGTGACATAATTGTTCCAGCCAGGCCAGATTAGAGAGGAGGCTATGAGGTACCTGTGTGAGCCACCCGCTGGAAGCCCCACTGACAGGCAGAGAGATGCTGTATGAGGCAGGTCTGTATGGCAGAATAGGACAGGACCGCGTGCTCCTTTTGGTGAAGAGGAATCATTGGAAATACGGGTGCAAGAGGCAAAGGAAAGAAAACGGATAAGGATGAAGAGGAATGATTTCAGCTCATGGGAGTTTTACTTACACAAAAATGTTCTGAGTGCAGAAGGAAAAATGATTGGTTCAGAGAGATAACCAATGAGATTGTAGAAGAGGAGGGTCTAAGCAACTAGAGGAGGCGGGACCAATAAATCTGATTGGTTGGTTCCGCCCCCTCTAGTTGCTTGAATCCACCTTCGCTACAATCTGATAGAACATTTTTGTGTAAGTAAAACTCCCGTGAGCCTGACATCACCACAATGCTTTCACTTCAATGTTTGCAAAAGAGGCAATGCGCAAAAACGCAAACATGTGGATATGCAAAAAAACAGAGAGGGAGAGGGGAAAAAAAGACATGTTTAAAGCGACAGTCATGACACGCTCTATATCCTGTGGAGCCGCAGCGTCGTCTCTTCATGAAGAGAGAGTGCGACTCCTCTCTGCTGCATTTACGTCCGCAGGCCTGGGCTGCGTCTCGCTGCTGCCTCCCCGCCGGGGCTCCTTCTACGTGGAGACGGGCACAGGGTTGTCTCTGGGATCCGTGCTGGCTTTCTGGTGCCGAGAAGGCTTCCAGCTGGTAGGCAGCGAGAAGGTCACCTGTGTTCTTCGGGACGGCGTGCCCCAGTGGAGCAACTATCTCCCAGTCTGTGAAGGTGAGTAGCTACAGAGTGGCACATGTTTGAACACCTGACATCAGAGCCCAGTTAACGACAAACATCTGATTCCTCAGACCTGGGGTGCCACCAGAGATTTGGACCCCATGATCACACTGGGCCCCCAACCCAGACCAATCCAATTATGTTCCAAATTTTTTAGGGCCCCTGAGTGGAATCATTCTAACTCCACCCCCCCCTTTACAGCAGCCCTTGCCTCAGTCCATGGACCCCCGATCATGAAATGGCCTCCACTGTACTGGTAACTTAAACGCCTTGTTCCCAGATTACTAAACCCCTAAAAATAGGACCTGGGGAGAGGGTTAGGGACACGTGTCACCCCCCCCCCCCAGTAAGCAGACCTGTATATCAAATTATTATCAAATTGTCTCCCATATATTAGTTGTTTTAGGTCCAGCTGAATTTAGACAGCAATTTTCTGGTCAGCTTCAGTAGATACTTCATAGATTAGGACATTTTCTATTGCATCATTTAACTGAAATTTAAAGTCTGGAGATTGTTTTATATGGAAAACCTACTAGCTTACTGAATACTTTTACTTTCATACTCTCCCCCGCCCCGGCCGACTTTTTCTGTCTTCTGTCCCCTCCAATTTGGTCGCCCGTCGATCAGCCCTCCCCAAGCCCGAGGATAGGGGCCTGCAGGTGGCCGTCTTGGTGTCCGTGGTCAGCGGCATCATCATCCTCTCCATGTCTGCCTCCTTCATCATCTGTTGCGTGCAGGAGCACCTGGGCAGGAAGAGGGAGCGACGACGAGATGGCAGGTCCAGGTGAGTCACTGTGGGGGGGTGTACTAAACAGCAGGTGCTGGAAAGAAGCTGGCAGAGGTGGGTGCAGGGCATCAGTGCAGCAACATTACTGATACAGCTCGTCATTCAGCTGTAACATTGAGCAACCAATCAAAACAGGGCTTTGATCTGGGTGTAGGTACCCTAGAAGGCAGGTACCTGGACTTGCAAGGTAAAAGAACTATTGGTTCAGATCCAAAGCTCTATGCCCTGCTCTTCTGCAACTTCCGCAACAGGAGAACAGCCAGCTGTGAAATAGCTGAAACATACAAGCTTTGCAAAATGATTTGGGATTTGGATTTGTGTTCAGTTTTATACCAATTTAAAGACAACCTTGATGATGGAATATAATAATAGTAAGCATGTAAAGAATTTAATGGGGTGGATTTAATCAGCTCTAAACTGGATAGTTTGATAAGTATGAGATTATCTTTTGTGGGGATTATTTTTAGCTTTATTAAAATTATTATAGTAAAAGGTTAGCAACATACTTTTTGTTTATTTAAACCATCAAATTCATCCATCTTCCAACTGTATTCAGTACAGGGTTGCAGGAAGAATGAACGAAGAATGAAAAATGTATGTAAATGATGCCTCTCCTGCCTAAACTTCACAAAGCCATACATGCAAATGCATGCATAACCTTCTAACCCATACATGGCTTTTGGTTTTTGCGAATCTCAGAACTAACAACCTGCGTGCAAATAACCCGTGACGTAACCATGTGACACATTTAACCGACGACCAAAAACACTCTGCAGCTCAGCATTGCCAATCCAGGCAAATCTGTGATATGTATAAACAAGGTTTATAATGGGTATAAGGTTAAATATATGATCTGAATGTCTTTATATATCAGGTTGGCTGATAAAGTGGTGTGCTAGCGAGATAAGGGGAGGCCTGGTTAGCAAGTCACACAAAATATGTGGGAAAAATATGTAAATCCCTTTGGTAGCAATCACACCCCCCCCACCCCCCCTCATTAGAATGAGTGTTTGTAGGAGATTGGATTGATCTGAAGCTGTGGCGAACAGACTGCGAGGTGAAGCAAAGAGTAAGCCCAGAGTGGGTCACATGTGGCGGAGTTCAAAATATCCGGGTGACTGAGTGACTTCACAGGACAATGACCCACCTCAACTGGGCCAGTTCAACTGGGCATTTTGTGAATTTGCCTGAAGTGCAACTGCGGTGGATCTACACTCATGTGCAGTGTATATGTCATGCTATTAGTTCCTGCAGCTCAACAGGTAGCGAACTATGATCACACTGCGAAGGTTCAAATCCCACTGAACTGACATAAATTGTAACCTTTCCCTGGATGAATTGTTTGTAATTCATATGGCTGCCACAGCAGACACTTGGGTGCATTTCTAACTCTTGGTCCACTTGTTGTAGGTGTATTAATATGTGACTCTGACAGTGTATGAATGAAGGCTCCCTTATTCTCAGAAAACGGAAGGTGAGGAAGCGGCCATCGTCACAGAGGAGTGACTGCTGGTTGGAGCGGGAGGAGGGTGATTGGGATGCATTCCCCCCTCCCAAGATCTTTCACCTATCCTACCAGCCCCCGTCCAGCAACCCCCTGTACCTGGGGGGGCAAAGTGGCTTTGAGAACCACGGCTATCAGAGGTGGGAGAACAATCCTCCTGACAGCATCCGTGATGAAAGGGAAATGGGTAGAGTTCAGCGAAAATTGACGAGTGTCTTTCAGATAGTCAGGCATGGGCGTCTGATGACAAAATAGTCATCACAAGTCTGCAGCTGGAACTGAATTATGGGTCAAGTAATGGAGGAGTTGACAATGGAATCCTTCCTCTAATAAATGCATGTTTTTGTATTCATGACAGGAGCCAGGAGAGCCTGCTAAAGCCCCCTGTCCCAGGCCTGCACCCCACAGACTGCCAAATGTACCCCCCCGTGGTGCTGCAGAGGGTGTCCACTCCAGTTGCCCCTGTCTACCTTCCCTCACAGAACACAGAAGCCGTCCCTTCAATGCAGGTCAACCCTGCCTACTGTGACAGTACCCATGCAGGACCAAGGCCATAGCAGCCAGCCTCTAAACCTATCTCCACAATTTCTCTCTCTACTGCTTTCTCTGTATCTCTCTCTTCATCTGCCCCTAATTCCATCCACATAAGCTATTACTGCAGGGCATGTAAAACACACATTATGCTGGAAAATGCACTGAATTTGAGACAAGATAGCAATACCCCCCCCCCCCCCCCCGAACCTTTTTAATATGCACTTAGAACCAATTTCAGAGAATAGCTACCATATTTTGTATTGTTTGTCCATTTGCTTTTGAGCCACCAGTATCCCCAAACCTTTATATTGCCTTGTGGTGGCAGGAAGTGACATCACATCACAGTAGCATGTGATTGGCTGGTTGCAATATTGAGCTACTGCACAGGATACTTTCTGTTGCTCAGCGCTGGGACATTGCGTGAGGTCTGGGCAACCACATCTATGCATCACGGTGTCAGAATGCCTTGGGCTTCTCAAGGATTGGACACCATCACAGATAAAGATGTGAATTTCAAACAATCATATCAGAAACAGTATATGTGAGGTCCAGACTTCCAGGGTCTTTTAGAATGTAAATAGGAATTTGCTTTACGAAGGCCAGGGAATTGATTGCTCAACTGAATATTTTTTTATTGCTGTTTTCAAGCATCAGCGCTCGTTTGGTGTTGTGTTACGGCTGCTAATGATCTGGATTTATAACCTTTGCACTTTATGAGGTACCAACACAGATAGGCAGCCATGCTACCATTCAAACATGAGATGGACATTGTGAGATCAGAAATGGACCAATAGAAATAAGCTCTCCCATTGTTACCTTTGCACTTGATATGTGTTTAAAAGTAGAAATGTACATAATTTTAACATGCAAATAAATACTTTTTCAAGGTTACTCTCAGTTTATTGCTGATGTTGATTTGATAGTCAGATTCAAAGCACAGTCAGGTGAGCACAGACAAGCTCTGGTACTATTGAACGGTCCTGTGTGGGTCTTGCTGCTGTGTTTATAATCCCACTGAAGGACTTGCAGTAAAAGTCATGGACATACAAGGACTGGGAGGAAACATCAAGCTGCTCTCTATGTGCTTCTGTGTCTGATGTTATGTTATTAGTACCAACAGAGGGTAGTATACTGCTCTATGGATGATTCAGTACCACACAGTCACAATCTCTGTTCTTGATTGACAAATTCATATATAGATTTATACTAAATATGTGCTTTTCAGTCGTGCACCAGTTTTCGGGGCCATATTTTAACCCACATTGTTAATGATGGTATAGAAATAAAATTATTCAAGATATTGTTTTTTATTTTAGCAATGATTTTATAAAGTCATGAATGGAATGTCTGCATATCAACATCGACCCTTTACACAGGGAGTTCACATTTTTATTTAATTTTAGTTTGATTTTGTATGTAAAGAGCCATCCTAATCACAGTGATTAACCATAAAGAGTTAGGTAGTATGTTAGGGCTACATTGTAGATATTTGTAGTATAAATGTCAAAATATTTAGATGGATATTTTCATTTTTTTCTGCATTAGTACTTTTTCCTTCTACCAATATGTTATAGAAATAGAAATAATATGTTATATACGTTATTGAAAGGTAATGTCCTGATAAAGCAGGTTCACTGGTGTTAAGTTACCCAAATTCTTCTGGGGTGCCGGATAAATGACTGATCATGCGCTCTGACCCCACATTTCACTCTCACCAGTATATATGTGTATATCTTAAAACAGAGAGTCAGATGAGATGTGCAAATACTAAATCATTCCAATGTATCTGTACCAATACTAGTGCGAATGCCAAATAAAGCATCACGTCAAGTCATTTCATTTCATTTCTATTACTGCCTCAGACCAATAGACCTAAAACAATGTTGCTAATCACATTTGGGTTTTGTGTAACCTCTCTCACCAGAGGAATAACTATCTAGTGCATGATTGGTTCCAGATTTTTACAGCAGGACTTCAGATTTGTGGTTTGCACGCGATTTCTTAAGAGCCAAAGGCTTGGCATTTGATTGGTGTTTTTTCCTCCATTTTGCCCTAAACGAGAAGGCCAAATTCATCCCTGTTGGTATAAAAAAATCATCCCAAGTCTCCCTTGTGACACATCACACACAGTATGACCTTACAGGGAGGTGGGACCTAGACCCCCAGCCCTGGAGCAGTGAGACAACAGTGAGACAACAGTGCTAACTACTGAGCCAACAATGATCAACACCCGTAATTAAATTCTGAAATCTGAATCTGAGTTTTTGTTGTTCAGTCAAAGAGGATATTATCCCATTAACATAATAAATCACGACAGTGGCAGTATGTATCACATACAAAATTTCAACATGTGTTGTAAAAATTACCATGTGTTTCCACATTTGTGTTTTTGCATTTCGAGGCTTTACATAGATGCAAAGAATTTCACCTGCATGTCATTTGCCATTAGCTGTACACTTTGCCGTGTGGTTTAGCAGACGTTTGAGGTTTTACTGTAGTCAAATATGCATATATATAAGACCGAAACAGACATCAGGAAACAAGAGAGTGAACTGGGAATTGCTTGTGTTCTGTCTGCCATTATTCAAGGTAAGTGTTTCAGCAGCATTTGAAAAATTAAGTCACAGATTTAGGTCAGAGGTATAGGTTAAATTAAGTCACAGATTTAGGTCAGAGGTATAGGTTAAATTAAGTCACAGATTTAGGTCAGAGGTATAGGTTAAATTAAGTCACAGGTATAGGTGACAGGTATAGATTAAATTAAGTCACAGGTTTAGATCACAGGTATAGGTTAAATTAAGTCACAGGATTAGGTCCCAGGTGTAGGTTAAATTAAGTCAGAGGTATACATGACATACACTTACAGACACTTATCTGCATATCCAGATGCACACTTAAGGAAATATTCCAACATTCACTTAAACACACATACAGTTCAGTTCAGTAAGCCTTCACAGAAGTCCACAGGAATATTATTGAATGTTAGTGTCTTGATTTTGATGGAAAAAAAAAATGTAGTTCAAATGTATTGCGATAATTAACCAAAACATAATTAGTACTTGTTACTTGAAAATGTTTTTTCCTTTTACTAGTCTTTGTTTTATACATGCAGCCAATCTAACTTAGTGAAGACCCTGTCTGTGCAAAAACAAAATAATGAAATTGCTAAATGATGTTCAATTTTATTACATTTTAATGAATATTGCTATCAGCCCCGTGACCTGTTGCAGCCATTCCATTATGGGGTCAGTTGCAACATTTGACTTTGTCTATTCCAGTATAAATTGTACGTATATTATCATATGCATATGTTACAGCAATATGGGAGGATAGCTGACAGATGTGGGTTTAATGTATTAAAATTTTGTCTTTCCAATACAAAACATTTCAGAGAAACTGAAATAAATGCAAAAAATGTTGCAACCATCCCCAAGTCCCCCATTATATGCAATCATAAGTGCTCTTAAAGGTGCAGCGCCTTATGGGTTTTCAGTCATGCTCTCAGTCAACCATAGTGCCTCTTGTCTAAACATTCTGTGGATTCTGCTGAAGTCTAACGTTTTTTTGCCTTGTTTCTTATGCATGTTCAGGAAGAAGTAGGTCCTGTCCTCTATACAACTAGGTCTCCTTATGGCTTCCAATGAAACAACCATGGACTATTATGATTATTATGATTATTATAATTATACAGAATTTGATGTGGGACGCGTGAATTACAGATGTCAAGCGTATACTGCCTCGTTTTTTTGGCCGCTCTTCAAGATCTTCATCCTTGTGACAGGTCTTCCCCCCAACCTTGCCCTCTTAAAGCTTCTGGTCAGGGGGAAAATAGCAACATCTTCCTCACAGGTCCTGGGCCTCAATCTGTCAATTCTGGATGTCCTCTACTGTGCTTTACTGCCCCTTGACATCAGCACTGGGTTCCACAAGTTCAAAGAAGAAGTTGTTTCTGCCAGTGAGGCATTCTCAATAGTGAATCTTGTAGGCTGCCCCCTGCTGGCGACCGGAATGTGTGTGGAGCGCTATATAGCTGTTTGTTGGCCTATCTTGTACCTGGAGCTGAGGACATCTCAGTACCGGTTGGTGTTTTCTGCCCTGGTCTGGATTGTGACACTGGCTCTGGCAATTCTGTCCTATTTCAAAGGCGTTCAGTCCGTGTCATGGCCACTAACCGTGGGAATCTCAGTCCTCTTTGGACTGATGTTAATGTGTCTTGGTGGGATCATCGCCACCCTGTGCAAAAAGGGCCCTGGAGACAATGAGAAGAACACCCCACAGAAGAAGAAAGCTCTGAAGAACGTGCTTGCTGTACTCTGCCCATTTACAATAGCATACTTACCCATCGTTGCCCTCATCCCTTTCCAGACGTTAGTCATCGACAAAAAGCAACTAATGACCACCCTCAACTGCACCATCTTCCAATCCTTATTCTCTTTCCCTAATTTTGGTATTTATATCTGTCCTATGTTCTTCCGGTCCCACCTAAAGAAGCAGCTGTGTTATCGAATCCGAAGGTCGACTGTACTTCCTCACTCCATTTCTGCAGCAAACCAGACTACAGCAGTAAAAACTCAGCCACCATAGACATTTTACAATATCTGACTCAGAGAAATAGTAAACATCATACAATATCATCTCCTTGACCTCTAAAACCCACTGTTAATGCGGTAATGCTTGTGATTAATATTAAAACAATGTAGTGCCCGTGAGATGGGTTTCATTATCATTTCCCAGCATGCTCCACAACCCATGTAAATAGCCCCTGTGTGTATGCTTTATTGTAAACACTTTTTGCGTTCCTGATTGTCGTGTGTGCCTTTGCCTGTGTCATGTGTGAATCCTGTCCGATCCTTGCGTGTCTCTAGACATTGTGTAACTCCCCACCGTGTGTGTGCCTTGCTGTCCAGTGATAGACCTCCCTGCATTTCCCCCTATGTATAATATTGATGTTTGTGTTTAGACCTTTAAAGAGCAACAGCAAAAAAAAGCTGTGATGTCTGGGTCTGTTATGTGCTGTAATAATATGTTATTTTTTAATAATGTTAACGCACTCGCACAGCCTACTGTATAGCTCCGTTTGGGGTCAGGACAATGTGTTTATTGAGTTGTCTGTACCACATTCCTCATCTGGTCCCATCGTGATTTTTTTGAGCTTTTGAGATTGCCATATTTAATTCTATATCTTTCTGACTGGAACTCCAATTTCAACAATATATGCATCAGAAAACAAGAGGAAAACAACAAGTCCTTTAATGACAGAATGAAGTCCTTTGCTTTTTATCACACATTACATGACACATTACAAATATATCTTTTTGACTCCACTGTTGGGAATAGCAGCCATATAAAACTCACATTGGAGTCTTCAAATTTCATGCTTAAAGGTATTCATATGAAGATTAAAAAACATACATGCATAGAAACATTCTTGTCTCTTCTACCACTTATTTAACTCACTGTAACTTGCTCAGCCTTTTTCTTTTCTTTCCCTTAAACAGTACAGACGCTCCTCTACTTACGAATGAGATACGTTCCGAACGGCCTTTCGTAACTTCAAATGCGCATAAGTCGTTATTCAACAAATGTTACCATTTTGAAAGAATCATGAATTAGGTAATAGCATTATAATGATATGTGCTGTTCTTTAAGTATATTAAGGTTTATTTTGTGGATGTTTATGTAGGTCTGGTTCTTTTAATGTATATTCCTAAAATAAACAGAGATGTGCAATCAAATAAACTGTCGATGGAAATAGATTATGAACTTTATTGTAGAAAATTCAGAAAATCTTCTCACACCGCACAGTTTGAGAATTACTGACATATCTGTCTGACAGGTGCAACAGCAATGGATCCAGATGTGAATAGAGGCAACATGTCCAGGTCCAGAAAATAAAAATCTAAACCAGGATTTTGTTTCAATCAACCAGTTGAATATGAAAACTGGTTGGTGG